TTCGTGAATCCGTCCACCACCACCAAAATGGTATCCTTGCCTTTCGATTTGGGTAGGCCCTCAATGAAATCCATAGAAATATCCCTCCATGCCTCGGTTGGAATCGACGGAGGCCGTAGTAGGCTCGGATAGGCAACTCGCTCCGATTTAGCTCGCATGCATGTGTCACACCCAACTACCGATTCTTTGATCGGCAATTTCATAGCCAGCCGGTAGAAAGCCCTCTTAAGCCTTCGATAAGTATTTTGAACACCCGCATGACCCCCTATTGCCGATTGATGTGCGAGCTTTGATCAATAGTGTTCGTAGCTCGGGATCCGCCTCAATGTATACTCTTTGTTTGTACCTCGGTATACCCCGATAGTAAGAAAATTGAGGAAAAGAACTTTCTTGAAGCTCCTAGCCTTGAATAACCTCCCGAGCCTTAGCATCATGTACATAAGACCCTTGGATATCCCGATACCAAGTAGGAGTCAAAGTAGTGATGGCATAAAGGTGGGTCTCCGGAAGACTGCCGTCCGTATTGTGGTGATGGATCCTGCGAGATAGGGCATCGCCTACTACGTTGTCCTTCCCTTTTCGATACCGAATTTCAAACCTCAATCCCAACGACTTAGTCAAACCTTTCCTTTGAATTGGGGTGTGAAGTCTGCTGTTCCAATAGGTATTTAAGGCTTTCATGGTCGGTCTTGATGATGAATTTGTTTGCCTCCGGATAATGCCTCCATTTATCTACTCGCCATAAGAATAGCCATATATTCCTGCTCATAGATAGACATCCCTTGATGTTTTGGACACAAAGCCTTGCTAAAAAAAGCTAATGGCCTACCCTCTTGCGATAACACCGCTCCCACTCCACCGGCACATGCATCGGTTTCCAATACAAAAAGCTTATGGAAGTTGGGTAATGCTAACACCGGTGCAAGCACATAATCTCCTTTTAACTCCTCAAAAGCTCCTCGAGCTTGCTCATTCCAATGGAAGTTATTCTTCCGTAGCGAGATCGATAAGTGGTTTGTTGACTACACCATAACTTTTGATAAACTTCCCGTAATACCCAGCTAAACCCAAAAACCCTCTCAATTCCTTGACCGATTGAGGAGTTGGCCGATTGCTCACGGCTCGGCCTTCTTAGGATCGGTAGCTACCCCGGCTCCCGAAATAATGTGGCCTAAGTACTCCACCCGACCTCGACGGAATGTGCACTTGGATCGCCTCGCATACAACCGATTCTTGAGCAGAACTTCCAATACCTTAGCAAGGTGCTCGTATATGTGCCTCCAATGTAGGGCTATAGATGAGGATATCATCAAAAAACACCAAAACAAACTTTCTCAAATAAGGCTCCAGATCTGAATTCATCATCGCCCGGAAGGTTACTTTGGGCGTTAGTCAACCCAAAAGGCATGACTTTGAATTCGTAATGCCACTTGATATGTCCCGAAAGTCGTCTTTGCGATGTCCTCTTCACACATTCCGACTTGGTGATAACCCGAACGCAAGTCTATTTTTGAGAAAAAATGAGAACCACTGCAGCTCATCCGATAGATCATCAATCGGAGGTATGGGAAATTTGTTTTTGATTGTGATACTTGTTCGGTTGACGATAATCCACGCAAAATCTCCATGTGCCATCTTTTTCTTCACTAATAGCACGATGTGAAGCAAAGGGTACGTGACTTGGTTGTATTATCCCATTATGTAGCATTTCCTTCACTAGCTTCTCAATCTCTTCCTTATGCACATAGGAACTTCGATATGGCCTAATATTCATGGGCTTAGCTACTGGCAGGAGTGGAATTCGTGATCAAACCTTCGTATGGGTGGCAATGACTTTGGCTCGGAAAAAACCTTTTCATATTTCATCAATAAAGCTTGTATCTCTTTATTTTCTACCCCTTCGGTTCACTTCGAGTCGTAATAGAGAATAATTGCCCCACCACTCCATAAATAGCAGATTTGAGAGATTTATACACCTTGTCCACCGAAATCGGTTGTAATGCGACCTCCTCTGCTACCCCTTTCAATTCAATCACTCTTCGTCCCTTCTTAAAAGACAGACTTCAAATTAATGAAATCAAATAATACCGGGAGTACATCCTCAACCAATCCACCCCCAACACCATATGACATGCCCCCGATTCGAGTACCCTCAAATCGGCTCCGAACTCATGCCCTCGCATGAACCATATAAAGCTCGGGCTCCTGGCTGAGCATCTCATGCTCGCCCCATTTACTACTCGTCCATCGTAAGGGTAGTGGTTTTTTCCACCACCGCATCCACCGCTCGCACCACTCGCATACTAATGAAACTATGAGTACCGCCAATATCCACTAAGATAATGATCTCCTTTTGCTTGCAACACCCCTCGATCTTGATGGTGTTGTTCGCGTACCTCCTCGCTAAGGCGTGCAAAGATAACCCCGCCTCTTCATATTGCCTTTCATTCGGGATCCTCTCCTCCCCAAGTTCTTCCACTTCCTCCACAAAATCATCCTCCTCCCCTTCTAAGCCTTCCATCGTATTCAATGCCTTTTTAACACATTGATGCCCCGGAGTGTACTTATCCCCACATCCGAAACGAGTCCCATCCTCCTCCTCCGGTCATACAAGGTTTCGATTGGGTCTTTGGAGGTAGGGGTACGGTCGGTCTATGGTGATTGGTATGGTCCAGTTTAGGTAAGGCACTAGTAGGCTTATAGACATGGTTTGCATATAGTCCGTTGGTGTTGTAGGGGTATGGTGTGGAGGTAGTTCGGTCGGTGTTATAAGGGTAAGTGATTTCGGGTGGTAGCTTGGTTTTTATAGCCATGGCATTCACGGATTCTTCTTGCCATTTGGCTCGATCAAAGGCTTGCATTAAGGTGGTAGGTCGTAAGATTTTAAGCATTGGTTTGATGTCCTCCTCGAGTCCACTAATGAAGCTGGACACAAAGCAGGCTTCGTGAGGTGAGGATTACTAGTACTCATCGGTGATTTAAGCTCTTCGAACTTTTCTACATACCTTTCCACTTCTTTCTCCGACGAAGTTTATTAAATTCCTCCACTACATCCTCTTTATTACCAAACCTTTTACAAATTTCGCCCACAAATTCCTCCCAATTACTCGGGTTGTTCCTAACCACAAAACCTTCGAACCAAATTTCAGCTCTCCCTTCCGGATACATGGAAGCAATCTCTACCCACCGGTGCACTCGGAATAAAATTCAACTTAAAGTACTTCGCACCTCCGAACCTGACCCGAAGGTTATCACCCCCAAACCATTGTAATTCTACTTTTGGTATAGCAGAACCATAACTCTGTTCTCATGAAATCGAAGTTAATGGAGTCTCATCGATCCGACCATGATAGGGAGGTCTAGCCGTCGCATTCACTCCATGCGATGAACTAGAAGATGACCGAGGCTCTTTTTCGGGTTCCTTGCTCGCCGTCAAAGACCGAATCGTCTTCATTATAGCTTCTAGTTGAAGTTGAGTTAGGCGAGTTTGCTCCAAGCATACAGCGATCTTGATCTTGCATTCGTTGATTTTGCTCCAAGCATCCGCTTTCGGATTTCTTCCATTCCTTCGAAGCACGCCTTGGATCCGTTCCTCATGCCTACGGTTGTGCTCCTCCAAAGCTACGAGTCGATTGTTGTCTACCATGGTTGGACTCGGAACTCGCTCCGATACCAAATTGTTGAGCAAAAACTTAGCAAAGCTTGAATGTGAAGAAGATAACTAAGGAGAAAGAAGAAAGATGAAAGATGAAGGGAGGGAGAAAGAGAGAGATTCCGAAGAATCGGTTCGTGATTTTCCAATTCCTCCTCCATAGCTAGCCAGTTACTGACCTTTATATGCTAGCTAATGCTTAGTCGGCGTAACTAACTGCACGCCAAGTCATACATGCCGTTATAACTACTAGCCACATTATTTATTAGTTACAACTGAATCTACATCGACAATTAGCCGTTATTACTAACTACAACGTCTACTCGTAACCCCTGTATCTCTCGCTTGTGACCACTTGTATCTCCGCCTTGCCAATAGTTCTTAAGTCGTAACATCCCTGTGAACTCTCTTTAGTTGTCTTGAAAGAAAGATTTAGGGTTTGTAGGAGAGTGACTATCTAATCCTCGTGAACTCTCTTTAGTTGTCTTGAAACAAAGATTTAGGGATGATTGTGGGTTCGTTGGCACAGCAGATTATGCGAGTTTTTTTTTTTTTTTAATCAATCGTAAAGCTTGAAGTCTTAATGTTCAGTATTTAAGGTCTTTCTATAGAATATGAAATTGGGAAGGAAGAAGAGAGTTGTTGATAGCCCAACTAGTCTAGGTCTAGATTTTACAATATTTTAATAATTATAATTTTTCTTAATTTGAAAGTAGATTATCCGTGCTGAATATTCTTAATATTTGATTCCAACGAGTAGAGAAAATTAAATCATTGAGATCATGATGAAATTAAAGGGTAAGAGGAATAAAAAATTGATTCCATGGAGGATTGTGTCCTTCGATACAAAAAAATATAAAAAAGAAAAAACCCAAAATTTAATTTCTAATTTTAAAACTATAACTTTTCCCCCAAAATTTTACAAAAATACAGTTTAATCCTTTTGATTAAAACTTTTTACGATTGGATCTTATTATTTTTAATCACGATGATTGCATATATTATTTTATGTAATACTTGTATCGAGATAAATTATTACAAATGTAATCATCCATTACACTATGCTTTTGAAAATTACACAATCAAACATACAGTGCTGCTGATGGGACGCAACAACTTTTTTTGAATAAAGAAACCACATTAATAATAGTAATAATAAAGTAGAGTGGCCACTTAAAAAAAATATAAAAAGTAGAGGGATCAAATATACTATAAAGCCGTAAATAAATAGTTCTCCTCCTCTTTCAAGCAAACGACGCGTAGCTTGTATGAACTTTTACTGTTAGGGTTTATTGATTTCAATACCAATTGATTTTGATAAAATATTTTAATTTTAATCTCTTAGAAGATGAAGAAGCGAAAGAGGGGGAAGAAGAAAGGAAAAGCAGGAGCAGGAGGAGGAGCCAAGCCAAAAGCAGGTGCTGCTGCGGTGGGCGCGGGTTCTACCGATGAAGAACAAACACTTATCAATTTAATCACTCCAAGCAAGGAAGATCCGCATCATCATGATGATGATGGTGGTGAAGGTGATGAGAATGATGATGGTGACGAGAATCAATCTGCAATGGAGGTTAATACACCTTCTTCCACTGGAACCGACCAGCCATTGCATCTTGCAAGTATTAATCCTGATGGCTCTATTGATAAGGCTGCAGCATCAGCAGCAGCAGCGGCAGCAGGAGGAAAGTCTATGGGGCGGGTTAAGGTTAAGCTCAAGAGTTCCAGGATTTTGGAGTCGCAGAGTGATACGGATAGGAGTAGCCCAGTGCCGCACTTGGGTTTGGAGAAACAAGGTGAGGATAGTGGGAATTCCGTTGTACCTGAATTTAAGATGTATGTTTCGAGGAGACCTGGAGGTATAAAGATTAAGTCCTCGTCTAAGGTGATGGGAGCAGGAGGTTTGAGTGTTGACAAGAGTGGTGGCGGCGGTGGCGGTGGTAGTGGTGTAGTTGTGGTGGAGGATGAGGATGAGGGTTTGCAAAACAAGGAATTTGAGACGCCTCGGAAGGAAAATAGATATGATAAGCAAGAACTGGATTCTGCATTATCGGTATGTGGGAATTTTTTTTTTAGTGGTTTATTGCTGTTGTGTTTCTTGATTGCCATTATGTGTAATTGTTTATCCCATTTGTAGGTTATTAAGAAGGTGATGAAAATGGATGCAGCTGAACCCTTTAATGTTCCTGTCAACCCTGAAGCTCTAGGAATACCTGTAAGTTGATATCATGATTCTTATGCTCAATGCTTTGGTGGTTTTATGTTTGATATTGAGTAGAGAATTTCTCATATTAAGGACTCCTTAGAGAGGTTTGCTAAGATTAAATTCCTATGCTGCTCAGCTATGGGTGTTATAGAGGAATGAATAACTTAGCGGACAATGCTTGCATAGATATTGAAGAGGTTTTATATTTTAGTTGCAACATTGTCTTGTTTTCTTGAGAGATCACATTATTCTCCATCTTCTATATGTATTCATGCTGCCTAATAAGATTGTTTTTAAAAAATAAAAATTTGCAGAGCTCTTCGTGTTCTGTATTGCTTGATATGTTCATATTTATTTTTGATATCAAAATGACTTCTCTTTTTTTACAGGATTATTTTGATATCATAGATACACCAATGGACTTTGGAACAATCTGCAGCAATCTTGAGAAAGGTGGCAAGTACATGAATTCAGAGGATGTCTACAGGGATGTTCAATACATTTGGAACAACTGTTTTAAGTATAATAGCAAAGGTGACTATATCTTGGATCTTATGAGGCGTGTTAAGAAGAATTTTATGAAGTATTGGACAGCAGCTGGGCTATACACTGAATTATCAAAAGGAAGTAATGGTGAGGATCTTATTGTTTAGTTCTTTCTCATTTCAATTTTGTTCATCATGTCGAGTCATGAGTGTACTTATCCATTTGCTCTCGTATTTTCTGTTAACAATGCATGACAATTCTAGGTTCAAAGGAGGAAATCCATCTCCTTTATCATGTGAAGACTAATGTGGTGGTTCTTTGGTTGATTATTTATATTCTTTAGAACCCAACCAAGTCATGACTTAGATTCTCTACAACATGACAATAAGCCATATGGTTGCCCATCAGACAAATTGGGTCTTTTTGATTTCTTAACCTGCTTTGGTGCAAAAATAATAAAATCACCACAAATATAGAAGTTTTTGTTCTGTGTAAGTCGATTATTTTGTGTGCTTTGGCTTCTCCCTTTCCAGATTATCTCTTTTATACTTTTAGGGTTGTAGAGCAATGAAACTTATATCTTTCTTTTGCCATGATAGTTCATGACTATTATAGAGTTATGCTCTTATATTTGTTTCTACTATGGCAATTCATCTTATTTAAAATTTAGTAATATATCACCTGTTTGTATTCTGAAAACTGTTAACTTGGTGACGCTGCATCTATAATTTTCCCTTGCTGATAATTAATGGTCTAATAGGTGGCAAAGTTTTAATATGAAATGCATTTAGAGCCGTGAATGGGTGCTTCAACAGCTTCAAGTTACCTTTGATAGACGATGTTTGCTGTGTGGTGTAAACTGTAACTAACAGCACTTGTCATGGTAGCTGCTAAGATGGTATAGCTAATCATTGCAATTTATCTAGAAAGAAACATGTCTTTTTGTTATTTAGCATACCGGATCTAGTTTATTCCAGAAAATGTGGATTCAAAGTGTTTTCATGTTGATAGTGGCGGTTGCATAGGTGATTGCTACACCTACTGTTGGGTTAACAGGAAATTCCAATTTAGAAAGCTAGCATTAGGGCTATTATTTCGGTTTCACAAAAGGCAGCATTTTTCTCTGAGCAAAAGTTCCATAGATATTCATTCTGTCAATTTGTAATTAAGGAAATTTATTTTTATCTTTGGGTTACTGACAGCTGAAACAGCTGATCGATATTCTTGTTTTCTGGTTTATCTATGTTGGCTATTTTAGGTAACATGTGTTGTTGCTTAAAATACGAAACTCTCTTGGATTTAGGCTCCATGTCCCAATGGTGATCTGAACAGTATTTGTTTCCTTTATGTTAGGTTCTGAAGGTGTTCATGGTGAGGATGTTGCAGCATCTAGTCATGGACATACTAAAAGTGCACAACCAAAGAAGTCAAAAAAGCGTCATGGGTATGATTCTGCAGGATAAGTTTCTGATTCTGTTTATGCATATAATTTGTCTTTTTGCTTCTATTAGTTGAGTATCCAAATTTTAGATGTCCATATGGACCGTGTGGTAAACTAGCAGCACTTAAGTTTAACAGAAAACAATAGTAAACTTTTGCAGTGGAACACAATTACTAGTCTTTCTGTTATCCCCTCCATTTGTTACCTACCTTATTATCACTGTGATTGATGTAGATCTAGCGTTGTCTTCTTTAGACTTTCTCCCATAATGAATTCCTTCTTTAAATCATGCTTAAACTTGGCCCTTGTACTTGATGTGGACAATTAAATCTTGTAGTACATGTAGTTAATATGGACCAATTGCTAACAGTTATTATTATTCTTAGATTGTTCTTTTTAGGAATGGCAACAAGCGGATACTTGGTCCATTAATTCAATTTTTTACCTTGCCCATAAAAAGAATATCCTACCAATTGCTCATTAAACAATCACTATGTAAATCTTTCTTCAGCCTTTACCCGGCTCACGTTAGTTTACCCGCCCATGTAGTACCCATTTGATACCCAATAAAAATAATTTATCATAAATATTTAATTTAGTCCCACTAATTTTCAAAAAAAAAAAAAAAGAAATTTTTTGGTCCTTAAATTTTTTTTTTTTGCATTTTGGTCATTTATTTATAAGTTTTTTTTGGTCTTTAAAGTTTTTGAAAAAAATATTTTAGTCCTTAATTTTTAAATTTTATGCTATGCCAATTGAAATCCACCTACCTAAATACTCATATTCCCAATGTCATTGATGATCATCTTCTATATAGAATTCCTGAAATTGTGTGTCATTTTATTGATGACTCTGCTTGTTGCAACATATTATAGTGAATTATTAGATTTCACTCTCTTAGTTTATCATTTTACTCTGAAGGGTTCCTTTTTCTTTTGGATGGTATATTCTTTAGTTTTCTTAGGAACTGTTTGTTATATGTTTATTTAATACCTGGCGTCATATTGAACTAATCATTTAATTTTCTAAATTTATAACTCAAGAAATTAAAGGGGTAGGTGGGGATGGGAAAGCATTGGTTGATCCTGAGAAATGGACATCACCTACATATTTTTCTGGTCTCTCTCTCTCTTCTCTTCTCTTCTGAGAGCAGTAAGCAGGCCTAAGCATTTCATCTATTTTCATAGAATATGGTTTTAATTTTATGTTGGATTTACTTATTTGTTTGTTTTGTCGTATGCAGAAGGCGCCATAAACTTGATTGTTTATGTGCCATATGTGTTCTAAAGCGCCGTAGAAGAGAGCGAGAGGAGAATGCTCGACTTGGTAAAGGCCAGATTGGAGTCACTGATAACGAACTTGTTCAAGAGTTCAAGCAAGAGGTGCATTTATCTTCTTAAACACATATTGAAATTGCTTTAAGTGCGTGAAAAGAATTATGAAATAAGTTTTAACTATCCTATGATTGGTAATGCTCCAGAATAAAAAATATTAACATATAAATTAATAAGTTAGGAGCATAATATAATTAATATATATTTGTTTTTAGGATTTCCAGATTTGCTGTCTATTTGTTATACTTCTGGCTGTTGCTATATCAAAAATTTAAGAGGGATCCCAAGATAACTTTGTTTTAAGTCTTTATTTTTCAATGACAAATAGAAGTCATTGTGAGATGCGTTTGACTGATCCAAGCTAGCTCTCAGTAGTGTTATGGGTATCATGGTAAGTAGCAGATTGTACTTACCAAGGTTGTCAAAATCCTACCCCACTGATCAGTTTGACTTGGAAAAACCATGAGTGGGTCAATTCATTAGTCTGGTTGATGTCTCAAACCTAGAGGTGAGCAAATTTGGTCAAGAACCCAGCAAAACTAGCCACGAGAAAATTGAGGACCTGGAAGTTTTTAAAGTTTCAGTTTGGTGCAAGTTTTGAGTTTTGTTTTTATTCACCCAGTTACTTGGGCTTTGGTCCTTGGGCCATACAAACTTTCACGTAAGCACAAATTGCATGCTTTCTTTTCGATTTTAAATTCTTCATCTCTTCTCCTACTCTTTTAATTCCAATCAGTTGGGTTGGCATCTATCTTAGTTTGAATCTGTACTTCGCTACCTGGCTTGCTGCGGTTCCTTGTGGACAGACATTAATTCTGGATTTTGAAGTACTATTTTCAGTTGAAATTTCTAGACTCAGCCTAAAGCTGTTGCATTGTGGAATAACTTATTTAACTTGTGGTGTAAATTTTGAATGTACATATGCTGATATGCACACATGATTGCTTTGATAATGAACATTTAGCATTACAAATGACTTTCTGATTTTCACCACTTCCCTGAGAAACTGATTCTCCTTTGGCCTTGCACAAACTCAACGATGCACTTCTGTTAGTCCAATTACATTACAGCACTTGCATTCTGGTTTTCTTTGAATATAAGAGAAAAGGAAATACGGCGACTATGCATTTGTAGCTTAGAATTGTGTATAAATTGTCATAAGTTTGTGCGAACGAGGTATTACAATGAGAAAAGAAATATAATCCTTTTCATTCAATACTTCACATGCTCTTGTTAGTTCTGTTAATAAAGTTCTCAGCTGGAAGAGTTTGCCTATTAGTGGTTTATTCAAGATACAATCTTTGCGCAGCTGAAGTCGAAAATGACATTTTGATTGCCTAGAATTAGAGCATAGATCTTGTAAAAGTATGATCAAGCTTGAAGTTCATTCTAATTAAGAACTCCCCCACCCCTCTCTTTTTTCTGATTTGTCTTTATTATCGAAGAGCAAATTGAAAATTTTCTTTTGTTTTAATTCATTCTAATTTTCTTTCTTTTGCTGAAGGAATCTTCACTTGTCGGAAGTCCTTGTGGTGAGTATTCGTCATCAAATATGGGTGAATCGTTGGACCCGGATGCATATGTTGATGTGGAAGGAAAAGCACAGGATGGGAAAGTGGAGGTTACAGAGAGGCAGCAGAGTCCTGTGGAGAAGCAAGAGGAAGTCGAGGAGGAGGAAGAGGAAGAGGAAGATGAAGGCAATGAGATGGAGATTCAGAAGCAAGGGAAGGAAGAAATACCAGAGAGATCACAGTTTGCTGATGGATCTGTGGAGGAGTCTAATCAACACCCTCAGCCTGTAATATACGAAAATGCAAATACAATATTTCATATTCGTACTCAGAAAGATGCATCAGTGCTGCAAGAGGAAGAAACTATGGCAGTTTGGCAAAATAAGCGCAAGGTATTGGAGTTTATGAATTAACTTCAAATGCACATTCAAATAAGTACAATATGTTTGTGTATATGTGGGTAGGAAAACAGTGTCCTTCGTGGTTGAATTTTACTTTTTTTATTTGTTCTTGTCTGAGATTCTGCTAAAGATTCCATTGTTACTGTTATGTTATGTGTACTGACTCTCATGTTTTGTTATAGTTACAGGAATTGCAAGAAAGGCAAGAGAAGGTTAAAGTATTTAAAAAATTCTACATCGAAAATCCCTTGCTTCTTAGCCTATGCGGAACTCTATTTCCTGATGATCAAAGATCTGTCTGGAGTGGACCTCATTCACTGGTTCAGCATCAGAATTCAGGCCGCACAAGTTCCATTCATGCTGCTATTGAGACAGTTATGAAGAAGTAGGTGCTCATACTTGTATCGATACAGTCGGCTTCCTTTGTCAAGTGCATTGAAGCAATTTTATAGTAAGTTTAGATGTGATATATTACCCTAACAATGCTTGTGCTGTTGTGCCACTGCCTTAAAAGAAACAGAATGCCTGTTTATTACCAGAATGGTATTTAACCTGCATCCGATCGACACAGGATGCTCAGCTGATGCGTTAATGGCTTGCACAGGGTGGGAACACAGTCGTAGGATCTGCAGTACAACCATTATTGAAAATCCGAGTCATTTTACTGTCTTGATCTTTAGTAGCCTTTTTGGTTAGCTGCAGAAGGGTATTCCTTGCTGTGAAAATACATGCTAAATACTGTAATGATTTGTTATGGAGCAAGAATACTTAAAATGCTGTAATGATTAATGCAAAATGCAAGTTTCTGAGCCGAGATAATGTCCTTATTTTTTTACGGTTCATGTATTTTGGTTACAAATAATGTGTGAAAATAATGTGTGTGATGGTTACAAATTAAAAAATCTACCCCATAGAGCTTGTCATGGCCTTTGCTTTCATTGAAAATACGCGACCCTAACAGACTTGTTTGAGCTTGCATAAGGTTCCAACATCTTTCTGCACGGTCCAACTGGTCCCATGGATATGATGTTGCTCCCAATTTCAAGTGCCTGATGTGGACTGTTAAGAGTATTCCATAAGAGAGTACCCAAATAGAGTCCGTTGAGCAATTTCTCAGTAATTCATGGCAGCTCGTACTTAACGTCTCCAAGGTAGAGACCACATGCAGGGGCCATAGGGCTTGCAGCATCTGAAGACCTGGCATTCAGTATTCTTTCCACTGGAAAAGAAAAAACAATTACATAAGCAAAATATGAGTTAAAAAATTATTTAAATTCACAATTATGTTTATGCATATACAACTGTGGGGTATGTAAACAGATAACAGACCATCAGAAATTGTTAGATCCCCAGTGCCGACCGATTTAAGAACGCCAACGAGCAGTCTAACCTGAAAAGATCAACTTAAGTTTTTAAGTTCGCGGATCGCAAAGGCTCAATCTACAATAGAAGTTCGCAATTTCATTTGAAGCATGGACATGACATATACACATGATGCCAACAAATTTTGTTGCAATCCAGGTCAATCACACTGAGTACTCATTCCTGCTGCATGCCATAAATTTGACAATGTCGCATGGCTACAGATTCCAAACTAAAATCACTCATCAACAGACATGCAAACATCCAGCCAAAGAAAATAAAACAGACACTGCCAACCTGGTGGTAAAGAAAAGACCGAGCACGTGCTGTTATGACATAGCAGCAATGTCGCCTCCTCCCAAAACCTAGACCAGTTCCACTATTGGAGCCCCCTACCGTAATACTGTTGGAAATGGATCCAGTTGAACTGTTACAGAATGATTGAGGACCCTCCCCATTTGAACTGTTCTGTTCTCTTTCTGTGATTGATGGAAAATGTGGATTTGAAACCACCTCCATAACAGAAAGTTCATCTAATGTTCTGATTGGTGATTTTGCCTGTGAAAAAAAAAAAAGTTCAGTGATTGTATAAGATCTTAGACGGTTTGAGAAATTTTAGCATTTGAACATATTAACTGGATATTGCATTAGATATATATTAACTTTTTTTCCAAACAATGCACAGAAAGGAACTTCTATGCTAGGACACATAAAAGCCAGATGTGATAAGGATTTAAAAAAAACCAGCAAGGCAGTATAGCTGAGAGAGAGAGAACTCCATTGTACCTAAAAACATGCATACACTATTAGTGAATCCCATTCCTGTTCCATGTGCCATAACAATTTAAATGTTATGGTTCAGCGCCTAACTGGTCGGGAATTACCCTATTGAACTGATTTTCATTCTATTGATCTGGAGCTTATTGAGAGCACCTATTGCTGCTTATCAAATGGATTTTAGAGCAGTTTGTATTCGCACCAAGTGCTGTGTTGAAGGATTCCCAATTTTCCACATAGTATTCCCTAATTTCATTTCTATTGATAAAATTTCTTCTCTCTCTCTCTCAAAAAAAAAAAAAAAGGAAAAAAAGGAAAGCAGTTACTCATGTTTAACACTTGAAATCTGTTCCGTTGTTCCATTTTAGAGATGAAGAAAGATACAACACTTTCGACACTAGTGTAATTGGGTTCGAAAGTTTATAATACAGAAGATTAAAAATGGTGAAAAGGACTTGAGCTCTGGAAAGCTCAATATCAGAAGTTATCAAAGCTAATCTTAAGAGTCTTTGCAAAATAGAACAGTTTGTATGTACATTTTAAAACTACCAAATAGAAAACAAATGAATATAAGAGCCAGAAGCAATGCATCTAGAAGAAAAGTAGCAACCTGGCAACCAGATGCCCGGAAGGAACTAAAATCATGATGCCCAACAAGAACTTTGCAAGCTTCCTGCATTGCTATCAAGTATCACTATCGTTTTAATTGATTAAACAAGGTAAAAGGTAACATAATTGGTTTGGCAATTGTTCCTAACCTGCATAGCAACGAGATCTAACTCCACTGAAACATGCCATGCCCGATCTTTCTCAAAGGTGGACAGAGGCTCTGGTCCAGTCAGCAAGCGGTAGAAGTACCTACAAAAATTAATGGGATATTTCAAACGTTTATCCTCTGTGGTACAAGCTGTTAAATACAGTCTAGCACAGTAGACCATAGATTAAATGTTAAGGTGGCATTATAATTTGAAATTCATTTCATCACCTCAAAACTTTATAAACCCTATTTGCAGTTAGATCATTGCAGCTTAACTAATTGAAAAAGCCAACTATAGCCAAAGACATAGACATACAAGCATATCATCTTGCTGGATGGTCTTCCATCCATGACACTTTTATATCAAAGCTAATATATGCATGCCTCAATTGGTTGTTGCAAACTTGCAATTTCTACAAAAAGAACCTAAATTAATTAATACCTACGTGCGCTCTTGAGCTTTGAATCTTGCATGGAAATCAGCTGGAACACTTCGAACATCAGTCACCATAATATCACCTTCATTCTTCTGACAGAACCAAATGAAAAAAAGTGTCATGGATGCCTATCCAGCAGCATGTGAAGATGTGATCTAATCTGAATAAAAGAAGAAGAATTTATGTATGAAGTTGGAACGCCACTTCAGCTCTATTTTACAACAACAAAATTCAACCTGGGTTCTTGCAACTGCAAATAACATGAACCTTGAACACAAGGTTGATCAAGATAGACTCAATTACAAACCTGCCATCTTTCAAAAGCACCTATTTGTTTAGATTCAGACATTATTATGCCCTTCGAGGAAAAAATCAATCAAGTCATAACAAACAAATAATAGCAAGTTACATTCAAACTTTATACTGCACCCAGAATGATAACTTTATGGCCCCCCAAAAAAATTAACAATAGAAACACAGGTTTATCTAATTTTAAGGGCTATAGCTGTCAGCAGTATGGGCTATTAACTTTTATAGGTGATAAACAAATCTTTTTATCTCAGTCTTGCCTTTTCTTGTGTTTCACATTGGTTGCAACATTGTTGACACCCTAACAACGGAAAAAGTGGCAATCCATAAATAATTAATATGCAGATGGTTTTTAGTCTCCTGAAACAAGAACTGGACTGGAGAGCTGGGATGTGCATCAAGTATGCTGACACCAATTCTTCACGCACATACTTAAGGCATCAGGTTTGATGAATACCATTCCAAGCCATCAACTCCAACTTCAACTACTAAAAGGTGCCCCATCTTCATAAAGCACAAGAGTGCCACCAGAGGTTTCACCTGTTGAGTGCTCAAAAGAGCACAACCAACAACCACCACATCATACTATTCACAATGAACAGTCAATTTACATTGTCTGTCATACGGATAAACAGCTTGTAAAATATAGAATAAGTCTAAGTGGAGGAAGGAAAAGCAACTTCAGTTACTCACAAATACTTTATATAATCCAAAGTAGTAGCAAATGTAACTAAGAATAGGACCAAATAAATACCAGCAAACACACAAAGGATAACTTAACGAGATATACTTAAGATTTTAAGGAGTATGCCACAGGCACACAACATTCTTGACAATGATATATGCTTAAAATGCAATTTGTATAAAAGCAAAAGGAAACACATAAAATCATTACAAGAGCGACCCAAACAGGTCCACAAAGAAGGTGATGCACATAATACAATCAGCTCTTTTTTGCTTGGTGCACGATGCAAATAGCAAAGTACCATGTCCAAAAGTAAATAAATGCAATTATAAGTAAGTGTTAAAAGACTGGTGAAAGGGAAACGTAATGCAGATGTCAAATTTCCCTACTCAAATAGAAAGAGGATATAAACATACCTGCAAGAAATGGTTCACAGCTTTTCTTACTACTGCTGGTTCATGAGGCGGTAACTGCAAATTGATAAAAAAGAAAACAACAGTCACAAAGTCATTAACAGAAGCTCAGTTAAATTCTGAAGCCAGCCGTGTAACGATGAACCATGTAGCAAAATAAATGAGATGAGTCGTGAAGTTCTTCGAAAGTGGGAAGACAGTCGTGAGTTCCTACCAGGCCAAAACATTATGAGCAGCGAATACGAAACGCGTATTGGGCAAAAATTGACTGAAAAATGAATTGCAGATGAGATACATACCACTTCACCTGGCTTCCTTTTGCTTATGCGTTCCACATCGACATGGCAAACATTCGACAATGCATGTACTCCTGCATCCTACAATTTTTTTTATTCATTATTTTACTGAAACTAAGCATCCATTCTGCCATTTAAAAAAAAAAAAAAACTTACAGTTCGACTGGATAGAGAGATAGATACTGGCTGCCCAATAAATTTATGAAAAGCCTCCTACATTAATTAATTCTACATTATTATTACTATTATTATTGGAGGGGAAAAAAAGGGTTGAGCAAGAATTTGAAAAAAGAAAGAAAAGTACCTGAAGGACACCAACAACAGTTCTATGATTGAGCTGTTTCTGGGAGCCACAGAATCGAGTGCCTATATACTCAACAGCTACCAAGTAGCGCTGAACTCCTGGCTTCATTGATTTATCAACTTCTTCCTTTTCTTTTTCTTCCTCCTCGCTTTCTTCTCCTTCTTGCAGGGTCTTGGCGATCTTTGGAGGTCTTTCCTTTGGAGATTCTTCAAATGAGTTTTCTGGGTTAACTTTCATCATTTGATTTTTTTTCCTTCCTTTTCCGGGATGAATCGGTTTGTTTTTTCTTTTTTTTCTTGGAGTCCAAACAGCACCAAACGAAATTCTTTTTTTTTTTTTTTTCCTTCTTGAGACAAAATGATGCTTTAGGGTTTAGGGTTCAATTTTGAGGCTGAAAGGCTTAGCCCATGATCCACACTTAAAGGCTGGGCCCAAAACACAAAAGGAGCATAAAATAGGCTGAATTGGCAAAAACCTCCCTTGAATTTAAAGTTATTTGAAAATAAATCTTTTTATTCTGAATTTTAGTTTGACCTCCTCTATACTTTGGTATATTTGAAATCGAGTCCTTCGATTACTCTTTTTTTTTTTTTTTCAGGATTCCATCCGTATTTTGCACAGAAAACTAGTGAAATGAATTAAATACCTTCAACTTCAATAATCAATCTAAGTGATTATTTTTTATTTTTTATAAGATTAATTTTAAAATTTGAAAATAAAATAAATAACTTTTAAATATAATATCATGATGTTAATTCTTCATCCAAAAATTTTGGTTGTAATTTAAAAAAAAAAAAAAACTAGTGGCTTAAATACTCTTTTTTCTTTGTCTCAAAAAAACATTGTAACCTTAAATCTCTTTTTTCTTTGTTTTTTTTTTTTAAAAAAAAAACCCAAATTCTCTAGATGGAGAATTAAAATCCTGGTATTAAATTTTATTTTCAAAATTCAAAATTAATCAGTACGATTAAAAGTTATTGAAGTTGAAGGTATTAAAATCATTTCATTAGTTTTTATATACAAGATATAGATAGAATCGTGGAAAAAGTAACAGGAAAACTTCATTTCAAATATAACAAAATATAAAGAGGTCAAAATCAAAATTGAAAGTATAGACTAATCCTCAAATGGTTTTGAATTTACAAAGGATTTGACCAATTTAATCCACGCAAATATTTTTTATTAACGATAATAATATGATTCATATTCTTTTGGTTATTTTGTTACTTCCATGCAACTTAATGAATTATGATAGTTATTTTCTCTGAGTTTATTATTATTATGGATTGTGGTAGTCATTTTCTCTTTTGTATCAAATGAAATTAAATCCAAAAACAATAATATTATTTATTTATTTATTTATTATTATTATTATTATTTTATATATTTACAATAATATGTTTCAGAAAAATTAGTCACTATCAAAATAGTAATGGATGAAAAATGGCAATAGTGGTAAAAAAAATATTGACAAAATAATAACAACTAACATTTTTTTTAACATACATTTTTTCATCACAGTCACCAATGGTGGTATTAACGATCAAGATGATAGTTATGGTGGTATCAACAAGACTATAAAAATAATTGATACGCATTAAATAAAAATCACACACTATTTCAAAGAGTATATCATTTTCCTTCCTACCATTTTATTTATTCTTACCAAACCCTTAAAATATATTAGGTATCAAACAAAGCAAAAACTACTTAGGAACCATGGCCATCTTGCAGACAAGCCATAGCCATCGACTCCGCCGAAGAAATCCACAAGCCATTCTCTGGTTTGGTCTCTCTCTCTCTCTCTTTTTCCCTTGACAAGAGAGCTGCCAAGAAACTGCAAATCAGTTCCAAACTTTCTCAATTACAATAGAACTGCAATGATATCGGCATCAACTAGCCCTCTGACGGGGTAAGCTTCTTTATATCAAGCAAGAAACAGAAAACAGGCAGCAACATTTCGTCAACATATATAGCAAGGTGATGATTGCTTGAAGGATGCACTAATTCACGCTGGATGCAAGCAACTATCACATTAAGCACAGAAGATTTATCTTAACTCTGCCATCAAGGATCATCCTTTGCTTTGTCAGCAACTCCTTATATCTCCCAATAAACCAGATGCTTTCTTGGTTTTTGCAGTGTGTAAGAGATCGAACCAAGTTAAAAACACAATTCAAAATAAATTATATTTCGAGGAAAAAAAAAAAAAAAACAAGCAAACTTCAACCACCTCCCTGATATAACTAAAAAGAAGCTTTTCACAAAATAAACACTCACCTATGAGGAAAAAAAACTCTTTAAATTGGCTTCAAATGAAAAGTAAAATAAAAGGATCAGAAGGGATTAGAACTACTACAGCTACAATACTGCAACAAACTTACTAATGCCCTAAAAAAGCCTATGGTGCAGGAACAGGAGGCGCTGAAATTCCAATCGGCTTCTTTACAGAGTTACTCTTCTGGTTGTGACCATCGAGTGAGAGATTTTTAGTTAAATTGATCAGAGATGAGGGATTAGTAGTTTTCTTCATCCTTGAATCATCTTCATATATATCGTCTTCGGCTGTTGAATGTTTCTGTGCAGAGGGATGAAACAATGTTAAAAAACTTCATAGCCCAAATTTGGGAAGGGAGACACATGGATAACAAAAAGATTAGTTGGAATGAGCCTGAGAATTAAAACCAGTATGCTATCATATTGTCACGGTCCTGGTCTCAGTTCAAAAACAATATGATTTGCACACAGGTGTTTAAATTCATACAGAATTGGGGAAACCAACGATCTCTATGAATTTTAATAATAGTAGTTCAAAGTTAAGGATAAAGGGAAAAAAAATGAGGAATTGACAAAAACAGAGGACAAGGAACTTACAGGAAAATCACTGTTCTCAAATATTTCCATTCGCAGAGTCGCAGGCTTGTTGCTCTTTTTGGTATTAAGAGACTTCTCTCGATTTTCATAGAAGTTGAAGTCATCTAACAGAGATGTTTTTGCAGAATAACTCTTGAAAATATTAAGCATTTCCAAACCTTGCTTGAGTTCAATCTGCAAATTTATATGGCAGTCTAGTCAGACCAACTGTGAAAACATTGAGCATAAGCAAAAGATTTGTTTTGACCAGACTAGGCACAAATTTCTGTTTCCAGGTAAGGTTCGTTGCAGAGATATAAAGATTAAAATCTCAGATCCTAGTAGAAAGTGGCAAACATCATCCGATTCCCCTCTTTCTTTTCATTGTTACCTATAACAGGAGCAAAACACTAAATCCACACAAGAAAATGCCTACTGCCAGCAAAAGGGATGAAGGGGCTATCTTTTCAGTTTCCAGTTGTTTTAAATTCTTTTAAAAAAAAAAATTAGGAGCCCTCAAGTCATTTTGTGTGTTTATCAGATGACTTTTAATTAAGGATTTCTTGTCCTCTAAGGATTGAGATTAAGGCTTTTAGCTGGTAATTACGCAAGTTGAGCTTTTACAAGACTTCTTTATTTTCTAAAATCTATAGACTGCAGAATTTTTTTACAAGCCCTAAACCTTATTCTCGTTTTCCTGATTAAATTTTATTCAAGTTTAGCCATAGTTCTGCTCTTTGCTGTCATTGCATTATTTTCTTCTACTTACCCTATATACAATAGAGGACATACAGCTATGATTTGGTATATTCAAGCATCATATCAAATTTCCCAAAACAAGACATAGTGGGAAGACGAATTTAGCAAACTACATTTAAGGTACAGACCAAATTCCACAAATAGAAGCCAGCTGCATTTAAATAAAAGAACAGGAGATACCTCTTGAGTGTCCCGGCTGAAAGTTACAGAATGCCCATCATTATTTTCAAGCACAATATGCCGCAGCTGACCATTAGGAATGTCTTTTATTACATGCCACTTAACTGGGAAGAAACCGTTCCACTTGTCAATTTTCCAAAAATCCATGTCTTTATTAAAGTCTAGTTGACCAACCATCTCAGCCAAGCCAACAAACTGTCCACTTCCATTTACCTGACATTACAATAAACCAAGGAGGGCACAAACAAACAAAAAAGAATAAGGACTTGGTCATTTGAACCTAGATTATATATAGGAGCATCATGAGTACCAGAAGAAATCACAAAAACTTTTTAACAAAAAGGGAAAAATTATGCTTCCAACTTACTGAAAAAAAGAGGAAAATTGGACATTTGGCGCCAGTCTCACTTGAAACCTCTTCTGCATTGTGGAATGCAGCATCTAGCTTCTTATTTCCATTTGGAGTGCTAGCCCATACATCATATTTAATGCTCTTGTGAATGTCATCTTCATTGTAAGATTTGATAACAAAAAACTTAGCTTTAGAATACTCAGTTTCAAAATCTGGTAAGTTATATTTATCTTTACGCAATGGGAATCCCAACTTGTCATTCTTGACCGAGGCGTCCAATGGAGCATTTTTGTTGGATGCCCTAGGACCACGAGTTAATTCAGTTTGGTTTTCAAAATCACCATTTCTATTGAATCTTTCTCTTGGTTTGTTTCTGTAATTCCCAGTCCACATTCTTCCATTTTGCCTGTAGTTCAATGGACCATTGTGTGAGAATGGAACTTGTTTTTGGCCAGTAAAAGAAGGAAACTTTCCCATCGGTTGGTATCCCTTAAAATGGCCTGCTGAAAAATCTGAGCCCAGAGGAGAAGCCTGTAAATTGATTTTTCACATCAGCAAACACTACCAAGGAGAATCCATTAACACATGGTATAACGTACAGAGTTCAATCATTCTTGAAACAATTTTTATGATAAAGTATGAAAAGAATTTTAAGAATATCTAACAAAAAATAAATGATCACGACATTCCCATCAAACTTTGAGATGGAAAGGGAAAATAAAAACAAATGCAGTTATAAAAACTCCATAAGTGATTTCCATTCAACAAAACCACTGCACTGGTAAAAATGAGAAAAATGCTAAAGTTGAATTCTGGAAAAATTTAAACATGCTACAAAATTCTGAAAAATTAAACATGTTCCAAGAGGGTATATACCTTGGTCATAGGTCTGGCAGGTTGTGTATACGTAGGCTTGGAAAATTTGCTGCCAAAGTTGCCATTAGATTTTACAGAGTTGAAGCCATTTGTCTTGGAAAAAGCAGTGGAACCTGAGCCACCTTTTCCATTTTCAAACCCAGCATTTCCATTCGAGACATCGCCAGCATATGTTGAATCCCATGAATAACAAGGCACGGATTCTAATCCATAGGACACAGGATGCTGTAGATATCCAGAGGAAGAAAAATATGTCTGTTGGGCAACACTTTGCCCATCAACACCAACAACAGCCCCTGAAGCATATGGATAGCCAGGCCAATAATAAACCATCGAACCATTATCTGATTGCATACCCTGAAGATGCAACCAATAAAGAGCATAAGAATTAATGCTCCATCACAAGGTAATAATAGTAGCGAAATTTGTAGTAAAAATATCTGTAGTAGTAGTAGTAGTAGAAACAGATTTCTAAAAACAGCAGACAATGCTCAAAGGTTTTGCAAACAGGTTCAAACTATCCAAGTCAATGTGTGTACATATGTAAGACCATTAAAAGGTAATGGCCCTTTGTGCTTCTATGTAAAAGTTAAAAGGAACATACTGTATGAGAACCATCTGCTTGATAATAACCATGATCATCCAATTGTGCGTAGGACCCACCATAGCCTGCAAAACAGAGTTATCCTTCTAAAACTGAGTATACTCGTAACATATTAAATGATCAAATTCAAAATTCAAAATTTGAAAGGTAAATAAACTAACTGAAATTTTCCCAGCTTAAAATAGTCAAAAAGAAAATAAACAGTTATAAGAATTTTTTGCATTATTATTTTTAGGCAATGCACCAACATAGGAAGGACTGCTTCTTTGATGTCTATCAAATAGACCAAAGAGGCCTGGAGCTATCTCAAATTCTTACCCAGCTACTACCCTGACCACAACAGTGATCTTTTTGAGTAGTTTGGACATTAAATCTTGCTGCCAGGTTTAAATCAGGGTCATCACACTAGCTCCCTGCTACCACCTTAACAATTAGAACCTCATCCACCACAAAAAGTGATACCAGCACTAAAAAGAATCTCCAAACCCCAGGCGATCCCCTTAAATTAATACTTTATAAGTACTCCTACACTAAATCAAAGTCTAAGCAGCAATCTTTTACCATCCTACATGCTACGCAACCCAGAATGGGAACCAAGGACTAATTTCTAGTTGTACCAAATGCTATAACTCAGATATGGAACAATTATTTTCCTGAAAGAAAGCTAGTTTAGTGAAGATCATTTTTTATTTTCCTGAAAGAAAGCTAGTTTAGAGAAGAACATTTTTTTCTCCTAAGAAAGCCAGTTTAGCGAAGAACATTTTTTTCCTCGTAAAGTAGCTTAGCTTAATTGCTCCAAACAACATCCCAACTATGACAACAAAACGCCTTTTGATGTTTTCATGATTGACTACATCCTAAGGTGAAGAAATTTCCATTTTCCACGTGTTATTCAACACATTCTGACCTTATAGCAATGAAGTACTATATCAACAATATAGAGATTACAAAATCCATTAACTTTCAGTTTCAACAAATGCCCAAAAGAGTACCAAATACACTACTTCACGTATCTGAAAACCAATTAACATAGTATATATGCAAAGGAGATTATAAACTTGTATTAAATGACATCTTAAGGACAAAAAACGTTTTAATATCTAACCTGGGTATTGATAACTATAACTACTAGTAGGGGGGCATAGGCAGCAGCATGTGGCTCTTGATCAACCTCACTTTCGGTGGTAGATGCAGCACTGCCATTAACTTTGGTGTCAGAAGCGCCATTCCCAGATGACAAAATGGTGGGAGTTGAATCAGATGGGATTCCATCTTTTACAGAAGCCTGATTAAGAAAAAAAAAAACCCTCAAAAACTATCCCACAATGCTGCTCCTTCTCGTCAAAGCAAATTCCGACCAAACCGGTTTTAATAAAACATCCAAAAAGAAGGTAGGTAAAATGTAACATACCGCGTTGTTATCAACTGGTTTGGCAACAACAGGGGTTGACTCCAATTCTGTCATGACAGTCTCAGCTATGTTATATTATGTAGTTAAGGAATAACTAACTAATCACCCATCATCCGATATAAATATAATCAATCAAACATAGCAGAAATCCAAGAAAAAAGGAAAAAGGAAAAGACTTGAGAGGAAGGAAAGATACGTTTCTCGAGTTTCATGTCGGTGGCCATCGTCGGTCTTCAAAACCCAATTAACCCTACAACAACAGAAAAAACAACAAGCTGAGACGCCAAGATAAATATTTACTTATTTATATATAAAATAAAATTTTAAAAAAAACAATAAAATATATTAGGGTAATAAAGTTGGGACTTGAAATATCTTGGAAAATATTTTTTTAAGAAAAATTCGGTCACGTTATGCATCCAGACGCATGTTAGCATAATCCACGAAAATGGGTAGAAAAAAAGATTCTGATTCTTTCTTTTCATCGTCAGAATCATTGTGCAAACCCCTTAATTGATCGATAGGGATTTTCCTAAAGAGATATTTAGGGCGAAAAGTTAGATTTTTTTCAAAGATATTTTTTAAAACTTTCTTTGTTTCCAGAAAGGAAAAAAAAAAAAAAACCACAGCTCCTTCAAAATTCAAAAAAGAGAAGGACAGAACACTGTAACTTCAAATTTTAAGAAATATGAATTGTTAAGGGAAAGAAACCAGAAACGGACCTTAAAGAAAGAAAGGATCGTGGCCGACCCGAAACCGAGAGACCCGATCTGATAGGAACAGAAAAACCCTCTCTTTCGAATTTTTCTTTTTTCTGTTCAGAGAAAGAGAGAAGAGAAGTTAAAAAAAAAAAAAAAGGAGTGGCGGATTTGAAGCGAAGCAGCGTCAGTAAACTACTAATAGGGGTTATGAAGAGAAGGGGAGATCGTGCGGTTTAGATTAGATCCTATGATTTGTAATAACTATTGTCAACCCTTGGATGTAGGGGTTAGCGGCTGCTTAACAGCACTCGCACTTTTTAAACGATAAAAAAGCAGATAGGAAAACGACAACAGAACAGTACAGTAGTACTTGGATCCTATTACTCCATTTGAGGTTTTATGTTTATTATTATTGTTATTATTAGGTGTAGTTATCAAGAATGTAGAAATCGAAAAAAATAAAAAATTAAAATGATATCTTTATTCTCATATTATGTGTGGAATATAAATGAAAAATCGAAATACAATTTAAATTTTTTAATATTTGACTTTTTATATAAATAAAAGTAATAATTAAAAAAATAATTTTATCAAACTATAATAGTTATAAATATAATAATAGTAATAATTGTGATGGTATAAGTCGTTAATATACAATAAATAAATAAAATATATTATTATATAAAAAAAATTTCATTCTCATCCCTTGTTTTGATTCCAACGTTTTAAATTTTCACTTTTTATTTTTGTTCTCATTTCATTCTTTTCAACCAAATAGGTAAAAAATGAAAATATTATTATTATGCATTGCGTTCTCAAGATTTTTTTTTTTTTTTAGAATAATAATTCAATTCCTCTTTCTTGGTAGATAAAGTTAAATACAACAAGTTTATCTACGTATTAAGGATTATCTACAACTCTTAACGAATAAGACAGAATAATTAACTAGGACTTATCTATACTAGTTTATTACAACTAACTACGACTTTTAATGAATAAGACATAATATAATTGACTAAAACTTATCTATACTGCTATGTTGCAAAGATTCTAAGGTCAATTTACTTCTTAAAAACTGAAACATGGCTGTAGGTAGAGTGGCTTAGTCGATTCGTCACCTACCTGATTCTCTGTTGATATAAACTTAACTTTCGGTTCCCTCTAGCAATATCATCCCAAACAAAGCAATAATCTATTTTAATGTATTTTGTATGAGCATGAAACACATGATCAATAGCTAAATAATTTGTCTCGATATTGTCACGCCAAAGTGTAGGTCTAGTGGTTATATGAATTCTCAATTCAGCAAAAAAAAAAAAAAAAAAAAAAAACCATAAAACCTATGTTGTTGCCATAATTACTGTCTTATATTCTGTTTATGTTAATAGTCACTGCCTAATATTCTGTTTATGTTGAACCTTTTAAACACTGTTTTCTGCTTTGAGGACTTTTAAAAAATTAGATTGTAGTCAGAAAAAGCTTGCATGTATATCTTATTAATAGCAAATCCCCTAATATGTTTTAAATAATGCAAGATATGTTTTACAATTATTCAGTGCTCCTCTTTGAAAGCTTGCATGTGTATCTTATTAATAGCAAAAGCTACATCCAATCCTGTTAAAGTTACTTACTGAACTCGACCCATTAAGTCAATCTCTTATCTTATTCACTAAAAAATAGTATACTCATTATCCTATTTATCAACCATTAAAAATCATTTGTTTATTTCTTTACTCAGTTCATATCTATTATATCATGAATTGCCCATACTTTATCCATACCCATTTTCTCACTAATTTTTTTTTTAAATTGAAGAATTTTTTTTTTAATTTTTTTCCGTTACAAACTCTTTTTATCTAGAATCTTTTTATATATTAAAATTTTTATTATTTTACAAAATAACAATTAGTATTTTTATTATCATAAGTAAATATATACTAAGTTGAATAATTATTATATTTTTTTCATTTCTTACAAATCAGTTTAAAATAAAGGATAAGGAAAGGCAATTGGTTATATATATATATATATATATCGTGAAAAAAAAAAAAAAAACTCCTAGAACTGTTGAGAAATGATTGTAGCTGAATTCACACCGTACAAAAGGAATCACGATTCATCACATGGACTCTCTTTCGTTGAAAGTTCAGCATTGTTTCCCCACTGCTGCCTTTTACATCCAATTTTTTCATTTTGGTTCTTCGACAAAACACGGTGGACGATGCCTCATTGGCTTGTAAAAGCTTTTTTTTTTCTTGCGATCTTGTTTTTATCCACTCAATAAGATTGAATTTTGCAAAAAGAATTCACACTTAAAAAATTGATGAGCAATAGGATTATCCTACTGCCTCCAAATTATTATTTTTTCTTTCTTCTTTTTTTGTTTTCAACCAAAGTATTCTTGACATATTAAAAAAAGGGATCATTTTGGATTATTTGTGGCTTTCGTTTTCAAATTTTTGAAAATAAAAGCTGAGAAATTTTATTTTTTAAAAATCTTTGTCTGAAAAAAATCAAAACCGACAACTGGTAGCTATTAGAAATGGTTTTTGAGAAATTTTGACGACCAAAAACAAAGGAATGTACTTTTTTCTTCTTTCTTTTGTTCATTTTAAAATATAGTATTTTGGTATTTTTTTATATTGATAGGTAAAATATGGGTATTGATAAGATAAAAAAATATCTATATTCATAAATAAATTATCCATTAACATAAATGAATAATACTATTTTATTCATATTTAATTAATTATTTATTCAAATGTTTTAAAAAGATAATTAATAAATGTACTGGATAGAGTCCCCATTTTTGTACCCGCCCATCCCCATCCCCACATGGACACTGGCAGTGTCAAACAAAACATGTAGTTTGGAAGTTGTTGACATATGAATACTAAAAACTATGCATGATTCCATACTTGATTTTCTCAATAATGTCGGCCGTACGTTTCTTTTGAGATAATAGAAGTCCACCATTAACTCTCACGGCCTTGATGCCTAGAAAATAACTCATAGCTAATAGATCATGAATGGAGACCCTCTGATTCAGAGCTTTGATAATTGAATCTGAATCTTCAATAATAAGTATGGCATCCACGTAGACTAACAACAACAACAAGCGATTGCCATCTTTGGGATATATATATATATATATATATATATATATATATATAAAGAGCAATCTATTTTGGATGATTAGAAATCTAACTCCAATAGAAAATCATAAAGACAAGCAAACCATATTCTTGAGACCGTTTGAGACCATACAAGGAGCGTAATTTGAATAATGTTCATCAACAAAATACTTAAGTTGCTCTATGAAAACTGTTTCGTCTAGAACGCCATCAAAGAAGGCATTATGAGCACCAAGTTGACAAATTTTCCATGAATTGAATGAAAGAACTCACCGAACATTGAAGCCTTAACAACTAAGTTAAAGCTTTCAGAATAATCCATCCCATATTGTTGATGGAAACCATTTGTCACTAGTCTTGCCTTATATCGTTCTATATTGCCATATTGCCATTAATTTTTTTTTATGCGATAAATTCATTTGCATCCAATCATGTTCTTTCCCCGTCACTAAGTAATAATACATTTATTTTGCCTGCCTCCATTCGTTAAAAAAACAAAAAAAAGAGAAAAAGCATTGGAATTGTAAAATGATTTTTGCTTGAGAAAAGCATTTTGTATGTTATCCAACTACCAAATGTGATGTTAGTTTATGTTCGAGTAAACTATAAATTAGTTCTTTTAGTTTCTATATTTTTGTAACTTAATCATTTTCGTTATTTTTTAATTTATTTTAATTTTTTATTTTAAGAAAAAAAGTAAAAAACATAAAAAGATTAATGAGATAAGATGAATTTTTTTTTGAGATAAAAGTAATATTTAATTTAATTAAATATAGTTAACACACTAGTTAAATCACTAAATAATCAAAGTTATGGTGTTAGGAAAAATTAATTTTCAAATGACTTAGAGTTGAGAAAAGATTTAGAACATTTAGCTTTATAACTGCCATATATATAGGAGTAAATTATAAATCATTCCCTCTAGTTTTAAGAAATAAATTAATTAATCTCTCTTGCTTCAAAAACTATTATTTAATCTTTTAATTAATATTGATCATATTTAATTTAATATTATTTTTATTTTATAAAAAAAATTTCTCATCAATCTTTTCATTTTTTTTCTATTTCCTAAAAAAAAAGATAATAAATTGAAAAGGAACAAAAATGACTAACTTATAAGTAAATTTAAAACATAAAGACTAAATAATTAGTTTTCGAAATAAGAGGGACTAATTAATTTATTTTTCAAAATAAAAAGGACTAATATAAAATTTACAAATATACATAGAAATGTTATCCAGATCGATACACATATGTTCTCTATGGTACTTTTGGAAGAAGCATTTGGTTCTTTAATAATTAATTAATCATTTTATACATGCTGACAAGTTGTGGTGTTAAGTTCTTGCTTTGATTTGGATTAAGCTTGTAAAAACTTCAGATTTTTTGGCTGCTTTCAACCACACTGTATTTCTTCTGGTCTGTTCCTCTAAAAATACTTATATGGATCTTTGGAAGATTTAACATGAACCAACTCATGCATGTAGGGTTTTCATGGTCTATCCACTATCATAGACCAAAAATTTCATCAAAATTTCTATGGACATGGGATTGCAGCATCTTGCCTTGATTTGTCCAGATGAACTTTTCATGTGCAATAAAATAAACATTTTACAAAATTAATGATTTGTGTATTCAAATATTAACAAAAAGCTACATAACCATCTAAATTGAGTTTGACATGTATAGTTTGTTTAAAAAAACAAAAAACCAAAATCTTATTAGTTTGTGTAAACTTTGAAATCAATCAATTAAATTTCTTTAAAAGTATAGAGCAAAATGAGTAAATCGTTTTAAACTGCGAGGTATGAACAAAAATCATAATATCATTTAATTTATATGTGTATTTAGAAGAATTTAATATATAAGTCAACGCTCTAAACTATAGTAAACTCCCACCTTGTGGGGGTAAAATGAATAGTTATAGAGTATAGATATGTTGATAGTCAAATTTGTCATGGAAATCAATGAATTAAGTTGTTGATTAAAGGATTAAATTTGTTTTCCTCTTTATTAATTGTTTGATATCTTGTTTTCTCTTCTTATGGTTTTCATTATGATATAATTAATTTATATATATGCTAAAATGTAAATGGATTTGTTTTTTTTTTTTTTTGTAAGGCAAGGACTTGTTTTTAGGCGCAAATATGAGGGAAAAAGAAAATGAACTTCTGATTAGTAAAAGAAATGCTAAGCAAGGGTTATTTTGACCGACATATTCCATTCTAAAAACTTTTTGGTTATTTTACTCCAAGGTATTTTGTAAAATCTTTATATTTAATAATTAAACTTAATCAAAGTCATTATCATAAAAGAAACTAAAAGGACATGATGGTTTCACTATTGCTAAATCGTTCACTCTCACCCAATAATACTATGGGCTGAGTTTTTTTTTTTAGCTTTTTGCGTAACGAATAACCTCTCGTTTTCTCTTAATTACTCTTAATGCCATTTGGTGAATATGTGAAAATCCATATTTGCCTTTAATTGATTTCCTTTCTAATTTTCTTTCCTATCATTTTTTTCGTCATTTTCTTTCTTTATTTTTCCTTTGCGTTATAAATGACTTATCCTTTTGTTTTTAATTACTTTCAAAGTCACTCAGTAGATTTATAAAATTTCACATTTGCCCTTCACTAACTTTTTTTTTTTAATTTCTCTTTTAGCTTTTTTGGTCATTTCCATTTCTTTTCTTAATCAAGCATTTAATGCTCAGTGATTACATTTTTTTCCCTTTCCGTGAGAGGAGAAGAGTTTCAAGAGTAAACTATAAATCAGTCCCTCTTTCATTGGGAAATGAATTAATTTTTATTGCATGAAATAAACAATGAATAAACATATATATTTTATTGCATGAAATAAACACATCTATATGATATGTTTTTATATTTTAAAATAAACATATATTTTAGATTATATTACTATTATTGTTTAAAATTTATTTCTTCAATTTGTCATTTCTTATTAAGATTTTCATCAAATTAATTTTTATTTTATTCAAATATTATTTATTTATAAACATGATTTATTGTTTTTTATGCATGGATTTTTAAATAAAATTTTACAACATGATTATTTAAAAAAATTATATAATTTATATGATGGACTCTTAGAATTTTTAAATGATAATAGCGCGTGCACACACACACACACATATGTAAAGAATTTGTATTAGATTTTTTGAAAAAAATAATTTACAAAATAAATTTTTAGTTATAAGTTCCACGGAGTTTTAGATTTTATTTTTAGATTATCACAAGTTCTTAGTTAAGAATAAAATAAATAAGAATAAATCATGTTTTTTTCAAATTTTTTTTAAAATACAATGAATAATTAGTCAAATACAAAATTTTAATAAAAAAATAATTATTATATCTTGATGGATTCATAGTATAGTGCAAATCTTCAATCTAAAATAATCTTGTATGTTTTTTTCTATCCACAACATAATATGGGTGAAAAATCAATTAAAAAAAAAAAAACTAAAACTAGTGATGGTTTTACTGTTTAATTACTATTATTTTCACCATTTTCAATTGTGGAATCTATTCTAATAACTAGTTGTTAGGCCCGCACATTGTGGACGATCTCTTTTTTTTTTTTTTCTCTTTTTCTTTTTCTTTTTCTTCTTGCACTTTTTAAATTCAAAATTTTATGTGTTTTGTGCTTGAGAAGTTGTCTATATATATATATATATCATGATTAAATAATCACTTTCGAAAACTGTATTAATGAATTTGGTATATTGTAAAATCCGTTTATTATTTTATATAATTCAGGGAACTTCTTGTAGAAAAACACACTGAATTTTGTTAAAAAGCATTATCACTACAAGAATTTTCATGTGATTTCAGAGTTGAAACCTAGTTTTTTTATTCTTTGGGCCGGATTGGAAGTCTTCTAACATAGAAGCCAGTTTGGTTGGATTTGGAACCCATCAATAAAAAAAGAAAAAAAAAAGAAAGTAGCATTTAAATAAATCAAATATAGCACGTATATTAAAAGTATATATTAATACAAAAAGAGCATACACAACCCATTAAGATTTGCTATCTCTCCCCCTCAGTTAAACTCAAGAAATGCATCATAATTGAATTATTCCTACATATCTATATGGACATGGAATCTCCTCCTATGCCTATAATCTAAGTCAAGAATTGATAAAAAGAAGGAAGGAGAAAAAAAAGGTAAAAGGTAAAAAATATACTTTGCACATGAACAAGGCAAAGGTTGTAACAAAATCAAGCCAACTTTCAGACACAATTTAAATGCTAAAAAACCGAAGCTGCCTTAAACCAAAAGATCCTGTTTATATTTCAAGCCATTTATCTCTTTCTTTTCACCACTCTTCGATTGTTGGGGAGAAATTGAAGAAGATGAAGATTGGTAATTATTGTGATCTGGTGAGTGACGAGGGAATTCTGAGAGCATTTGCACCACTTCTCTCAACGTGGGGCGTTCAATACTATTTTCTTGGCTACAAATCATTGCAATGAAAAATAAATGCATTGCTTCATCTTTTGGCACCATTGTTAGCCTTGGATCAACTATTTGCATAGCATCTTCTTTGCAATTGTTCGTTGCTCTTTTGCTCCATTGTACTATATCAACTCCATCACCGAAGTCTCCCACCGGCCTACGCCCTGTCAGAAGTTCTAGCAGAACTACTCCAAAACTGTAAACATCGCTCTTCTCATCAACCCTCAGTGTGTATGCATATTCTGGAACGAGAGATTAGACAAAAACAATCAGATTTTTTCTTACTGTTTATCGAAGAATGAAAAAATGGAGTGCACACAGAGAATCAAAATGTTAAAAGAAAAAGAAAAAAATCAATCGTGAAAAGGACCAAGACAAAAGGAGATGTCAGCATGCCAATAGAAACCAAAGCAGCCAAAAGGGAGTTGTGGGTGGGAAGCAGCAGGAAAAATAAAAAGAATAAGAGAGCTCTTTACACGTAAGACCAAATCAGTAAGGTAGTGCTTCAAGGCATTAGAAATTTATTTATTTATTTATTTATTTTGTTTTCTTTAATTTGACTAAAAAGAAAAAGATGGTGATGTAAATAAGTGTGCATGTCGGTTAGCTTTCATCAATCTCAACGCCTTGTTACGTTAGACATCATTGTCAGAAAATAAGATTTGCGTCAGATTCAGACATCTCAGATTCTGAGATGAGAAGTTTTGCAGGGGCCCCAACAAGTGCTTGCTTTCTGTGTTTTTGATGTGGTTTGTTGTAGTTACCAAAAAAATTCTATGCAACTTGTCTTGTTTGTCCCGAAGCCTCACTCTGTAGCAAAAATCACGGGTGGTTTTCCTCTCTTTTTTAGCTGTTACTTTAGCACAGACAGAGAAAGAGAGGCAATCTAGTATTGTGTAGTACAAGATGGCTTGCTTTTTATAAGGGATAAGAGAAGAGACGATCTGTTTGGTTATGGAGGAAGATGATTCTGAGATTTGGATACTAGGTATCACAAGTCAGACATCATCATCACTTGGAAATTTGAGCTAAACTGTTTCTTACTTGGGATCATCAAACACCATTACTTCATAATCATCTTCTTAGCTAGGAAGAAAATACTAGGAATAAAGAAGGATTGAAGTGCTTGATTCCTATCCCAACCACTTTAATTAGCTAACAAATTGAATTTGAAGATTGGTTAAAGACAATTTGGCAGGGAAATAAAGATATTGTGTTGGAAAAATATAAATATGTTGCAGAACATGAATTGTGTTAGATAAATATGGCACACGTACCAGGTGCTATGTAGCCATAAGAGCCTGCAACTGCTGACATACACTGGGATGCGCCACCATCGACCAAGAATTTAGCTAACCCGAAATCAGCTACATGAGCTTCGAAGCTGGAGTTCAGAAGAATGTTGTTTGATTTTACATCTCGATGAACAATCAATGGAGAACAATCATGGTGAAGGTAGCATAGGCCTTTAGCAGCTTCAATGGCGATTTTGTACCTCAAGTTCCACCCCAAGAATAATGCACCTTTTTTGCCATGTAGTGCCTCTCCTAAACTCCCATTTCTCATGTACTCATAAACAAGCAAGTTAGTATCCTTGTTAGAACAGAATGCCATCAATCTAACAATGTTTCGATGTCTAATGTTGCCTAGTGTTTGAATTTCTGCTCTAAAACCATGGTCATGGCTGTTGTTGCCAAAACCAAGTAGCTTTTTTACTGCAATTTCGACCCCATTTGGCATTTTCCCATGGTAAACAATCCCTGCTCCTCCTCTGCCAATTACATTGCCATCTTTCACGCATTCAATTATGTCTGTCACTGTGAATTCAAGTTTTTGGAAGGTTGTTAACTTCCAAGAATCCGAGCTGCCTTTCTTGAATGTCTTGGCCTTGATAATGGCAGCAGTTGCAAACACAAGAGAGCATATCAGCAGGCCTAAAGCAAAGATTAGCTTGAAATCGGTGGGGGCTTTTCCTGGTGTGTTGGTGACGGTGGTGAAATTGCAAGGGTTGTTAAGGAGAGGGCCGCAAAGTAGAGGATTGCCGGCGAAAGAAGAGGCATTGAATAATGAGAATTGGCCAGATTCTGGGAGCTTTCCAGAGAAATCGTTGAAAGAGAAATCAGCAATGGTAAGGCTTTTCATGGAACCAAGGGATTTTGGTATGGTTTGGTTCAAGTGATTTCTTGATAAGTTCAAGTAGGTCAAGATATGAATGTTGGACATCTCTGATGGGATTGAGCCAGAGAGGTTATTCTGGCTCATGTCAAGAAAACTAAGATGCAAACAGTTGCCTATTTCCGGTGGAATAGGACCGGAGAGGGAATTTCTACTAAGATCAAGCTTTAATACTTGATGGAGTTCTCCTATCATAGGTGGGATTGGGCCTGAGAATTTGTTTCCCCCAAGTAGCAGAGCCTGGAGGGAAGAGAAATTTGAAAGTGAAGATGGCAATGGACCTGAAAGGAGATTGTTTGACAGGTTAAGTTGCTCTAATTTATCAGGTTTCGAGGACCTATTACCATTTTCTGATAAAGTCCCACATAGGTAGTTGCTCTGAAACTCTGCTAAGTTCAGCTCAGGCAAGTAAATAAATCCGTGCGGAATGCTGCCATTCAAGTAGTTCTCACCCAACCTCAATTTAGTAAGACTATAACATGTTCCCAAGCCTTCTGGGATTGGCCCAAAAAGGAAATTCTTCAAGAGAATCAGTATCCTCAACTGATTAGAGGAACATAAGTCTTGCGGGATTGTACCGGTGAGCTTATTTGAGGACAAATCAAGAAGCTGAAGCTTCCCATTTTTGCCGAGGTTGCGGGGAATCACACCGGTGAAGTTGTTCTTCCACAACTGCAATGTTTCCAAATTGGGCAAGTCTGCAACATAGTCTGGAATTGAGCCATGCAGCCTATTCAAGAAAAGATTTAGGAGGTCGAGTTGCTTGAGATTGATGAACTCAAATGGGATTTCGCCGGTGAGTGCATTGTAGGAGAGGTCAAGCTTCACCAAGTTTGTCAAGTTTCCCAACTCCTTTGGGATGGAACCTGAAAGGAGATTGATATGCAAATAGAGAGTATCAAGCAGCTTCAAGTTTCCAAGCTCGCTTGGAATCGGACCAGCTAAACCACAGCTTGAAAGATCCATGTGAACTAGATTCACTAAATTGCTCAACTCCACCGGAATCCCATCTTCAAAAACATTGTAGTTCCCCAAGTAAATCTTTCTCAAGTTAGTAAGATTGCCAAGCTCACCTGGGATTTTTCCATGAAGATCATTTCCCGTCAGCGAAAGATACTCCAATCCTACCAGTTTGCCATAGCTTGCTGGGATTTTGCCATAGAAATAGTTTCCACCAAGTTCCAAGTGCTTGAGTTTCTTCAAGTTCAAAATCCCAAGAGGTAGGAAAGCAGTGAAGTTGTTGTCATAAGCATCAAACACTTCCAAGTTTGCAATACTTGAGTAGTTCCAATCCAACCCACCATTGAATTGGTTGTTTGAGATGTTAAGAAATCGAAGATTACTCAAGTTGGCAATCTCAATGGTACCGCTAAAGTTGTTTCCTGCGAGAGACAAGCTGCTGAGTTGATCAAGCTCTGAAATTTGAGGCGAAACAGGGCCATACAGATTAAAATCTGTCAAGTCCAATGAAGAAACTCGTCCGCGAGAGCAATGAACTCCAACCCAAGAACAAACTGAGCGTGGATTCGACAAATTCCACGTGTTCAGTACAGGTTCAGGGAATTCAAATCCTTGTTTAAGTGAGATCAAGACACGAAAATCACCAACCAAAGAAGAAAAACAAGTGGTGCTTAGAAGAGAGAATAGGGTCAAAACAATGAAGGGGACCATGTTTTTTTGCTGGCAAAAATTACTCAGCAAGATTTGTGTTTGGAAGGACTTGGAGCTAAGGTAAAGAGATTTAAGCAGTCGAGGGTTAACGGAGTTTCTACAAGAGGAAGGAAAAGTGAAGGGAATCTGAAAATCTCCAAGTTGTTCTTTAGGCTTGAGGAATCAAACATCTTCACAGAAAGAGACTTCAAATACAAGGAAGAAGCTAAGCCTCCCCTTTTCTTTGCTTCTCTTTTCTGTTCATTTCTTTTTCTCTGTCTTTCCTTTTCTGTTAAAGAGGAAGAAGAAAGGGAAGAGAAGAGGAGAAGATTGAAATTCTGCTGATTTGTTTTTTTTGAGTTGCTTTTATATTTAATTTAAGCAAAGGAAGCTTAGAGAGAAAAAAGAAAGAAAGAAAGAAAGCAGAACATAAAGAAAAGAAGAGAAGAAGCAGTGCTAAATTTATTCTAAAGGAACAGTAATTGTTTGTAAAGAATGAAAATGATCATAAAGCCGTTGGATAACAGAAATTTAAAGATGAGATAGATTAGGGTAAGGAAAAGTAAAGTTGATGCTGCCCTTTTGCTTTTATGTGACAAAAATGCCCTTTAGCTTTAATCAAATGATGCTCTTTATAGCTTTGATTCTTTGAATGAGAAATGTTGCAATTGCGCTTTCAATCATTCGTAAATGGCTGCATTGTCCTGTTGCTTTTCATATAACAACAATGTATCCTGATTTTTTTGGGTTCTTATAATTACCACCATGCAGTCGTAAAAAATTTATTTTTGATTATTTTTTATTATTCATCAATAACTAGTTATAAATTTTTTATAAATTATTTTTAATAGTATCAAGTTTAAAATAATTCAATGATAACGACAATGTATCCTTATTTTTTTGGGTTCTTATAATTACCACCATGCAGTCGTAAAAAATTTATTTTGATTATTTTTCATTGTTCATAGATAACTAGTTATAAATTTTTTATAAATTGTTTTTAGTAGCATCAAGTTTAAAATAATTCAATGATAACGACAATCTATCCTGATTTTTTTGGGTTCTTATAATTACCACCATGCAGTCGTAAAAAATTTATTTTGATTATTTTTCATTATTCATCGATAACTAGTTATAAATTTTTTATAAATTATTTTTAGTAATATCAATTTTGAAATAATTTAATGATTGATAAAAAATTAAACGTATTTAGAAGTTGATTTAATTTGAAAAATATTGAATTTACAAATGATTGCAATCAACTGACAAAAATAATTGATGTTGCAATCAAGTCAGGAAAACAATTGATGCATCGAGTTATTAATTAATCACAATGTTCTTTGTATTTACAGCCTCAAATATTAATCCAATTTTGCTCAAGGTTTGAAATGGGCAAAGTGGGCTGCTTGTAGGGAACAGAATAAAGGCATTTTGTTGTGCACAATGCATCATGTATCACTTTAATCATTCATGAATTTGTCAAGCAGGGCATACAGGGCATACTTCTTTTTGGTTCAGCCTACTATCAAAATGCTATAGAGCTCTACAGGGTTCTTAGTTCAAGAAAAGGAAGTATTTTTTGCCATTGCAGGTACAATGTTTGAGTATAAAAAGTAAAGGGAAAAAAAATTATTAGTCAGAAAATCATATTGTACGAGAAATTCCATCAGCAATTAATAGTATGGCTAGGTTATCTAGCTAGCAATGGTTATCTTTAGCCATGAAAATATATTTCATGAAAAAAGCACAATATTCCCACCTTGATGATTCATCTTGGCCCCATTAAAAAGTTTCCTGGTCATGTATACTCAATAGAACAATAAGTTGGACCAAAAAGGAATGTACTTGATCAAGAGACACAGTAGATTTTGTGTACTTTGATGCAAAATTAAACCTATGAGATAATTTTATGGAGTTAATTTCTCTCTTATCTTGAAATTGCAAACATGTGCCTGCGACAAACAGTGGGTTCTAAGCAGTAAAAGATGATGATTATTAATATATCATTACTATGTTTGCTGAATGATCAATATATAATTATATGTTGTAAGGATAGGTTGCATGGAAGGAAGAACCAGTGGAAGCTTTCTTTTCTTTTCTTTTCTTTTTTTTCATCAACTTTATTCCTTCTTCTTCCTTGCCCTACAGGGTTGGGACCAACATTTCCCTTAGTTAATGTGCATTTGAGCTTTATTAGAAGATGGAATAGTCTTAAAGAGAGGGCTGAAAAGGAAAAGCAAGTGATATATTTGCTTGCTTTTGATCTTCCACTTCAAAAGAAAAAGGAAAGAAAAATCCACGACCCCTCCTTCCCAGCTCTTTCACATGGAAAAGAGTGCTCTTGTAGTAGCTTGAACTCAATCAAAATTCAAAGACACCTCTCTCTCTCTCTCTCTTTCTGCTTGCAAAAGAAAAATCCATGACCCCTCATGCATGGGAAAGAGTGCTCTTGTGTTAACATGAACTTCAGTCTGTCCTCTCCTCTCTTTTGCTTTCATGTGTGTATTATCATAAAATAATGGCTAATTGGCTCCACTTGTTGCTGATAGTTTAGTCTCGTGGGTAGGGTACTTGGTGCAAGGGGGTAATCTTTTGAGGTGTCTCCATCTATCTTATTGATGTGCAGGTCTACCCTCTTTGAAGTGTCGCTATCTTGTGGCCTGCAAGAACACACTGGAAACCCTTATGTGGTCTCTCGCTGTTTTCTTTGGTAATAACATGTATACATGGATTTGGTCATATGTTAGCTAAGTTCCAAGAGGAAACATATATACTCCACTTTTGTCCAAATCTTCCATGTCCAAATCCATGAAGCTACAACGCCTCATTTGAAATTGCTTTAATCTCTGTCTTTGTTGTAGAAGGTTGGGCCAAGTAAGAGCAAATGCTTGCCATGTTGCTATGTATCCTCTTGCTCAAATAGAAGTGATCAAGGATCTAAAGATAAAAAAGTGTTTGCAAATTGGGAGGACGCAAAATAAAGCCCCCCTGGCATTGTTTCCAAATGATTGTCTAAGAAGGGTTAATTAATTAAGGTGACACCGAAGTTTTAACCTCAATCAATAATCAATTACGGATAAATAAGTTAATTTGTTTTTATATAATAGTCCGAATCTTCAATCTATTCCTGTAATTTTAATTATATCTATTATATTTTTTTAATAATATTTAATTCTTTAATCTATCCTTTTGATTAATCTTTTCAACCATAGATAATTTTTTGATCAGAATGATCTTGACTTAAAAAAAATCTAAAAAGTTTAAAAATGAAACAGGTCGTAAAGATATTTTGATTAAAAAACTTATTTATGATCGAAAAAATTAATCGAAATAATAGATGAAGGCTTAACTATTATTCAAAAATATAATAAAGTAATAAAAAATATATAAAAAAATTGAAAATTAAGACTATTATGTGAAGACAAATTAAGCTATTTATTCATCAATTGAATTAAATTTTTCTCTAGTAGAACATGATAGCATATATTGAGCTGATTTCGGCAATTTTACTGTTTTTGCACCAAAAACATGGTAGCCGACTCAAAAGCATTATCATGGAACATTATGCTATATTCCATAATATATACAAAAGGCAAGGGGAAAATTAAAGGGAAAAAAGAAGATGAAGAATTGTTGACTTTCTGCGATAGAATGTGAAATATAGTAGTAATATACAGTATACAGAAAGAAGAAGAAGGAGAAGAACCAGGTTCCTTATCTTTCTTGAAGAATTATATATAGCTAAAAGAAGCTTTAGAAGTCACAGGCTGTGGTATTGCTGCTACGGCAGCTGTATTATTTCAATTAAAGCCGAAAGAAAGACATTGATTTTAGTCTCTCTCATGACAATCTTAATTGCATCGTGAGAATAATTAACATGAAAGTGCATATATTTGCAGTGAAAATAAATATAATACATTTTTATTTTTTGCCATAAATAATTAAGTGCTTAAAATTAAATTGATATATATTGATAATATGATCGTGTGTGTGTATATATTATATGTGTGTGTGTGTGTGTGTGTGTGTTTGTGGGGTGGGTGGGAGGAGGAGGAGGAGGACGTTAGGTTTCAAGTTTTAATAACTTAATTTGAAATAAAAAAATCCATGTAAACAAATTGATATTAACTAAATGTTCAAAAAAACTAATAAAAGTTTTATTTGAATGAAAATTTGAAGTCTAATATTTTATTTTTGTAACTTTTACTAACAATTTATATTTTTCAATTTGGTATATATTATTATTTATATGAAAAATTTAAGTTTTTTTTCCTCATAAGAATAGACATTATATGCTAGATTGCATGTTGAATTGTTTAATAGAAGTAGAAAACCTTAATTTAATTCCAGTTAAAAATTGAAATAATTAAATTTTTTTTAGGGATCAATCCAATAATTTTAAATATTCCTAAAACTACAAGTCCTGTATGAACTTAGGGGTCGTGGCCACCTTCTGCTCTAAGATATCTTTGCCACTACCAACATGCATGAGCTTGCACCGTCAAGAAGAAAGAACATTCTAATCTGTGTTAATAAAAATACTTAGTTTTGGGTACATGAATGGATGACACATAATATTGTGTTATGTTTAATAAGAATATACTAGGAATCTTTTATCAATATAAGGGAGTGTTTGATAACCTATTTAAGTAGCTTAAAAAATTAATTTATAGTATTTAATATAAAAAGTTTTTTTTTTTTATAACTTAAATAATCTCATATTAAAAATTTAAGTTCGATCAAAATCTATTAAAGCGAGATAAGTTCAAATTTTTAACTTATTACTTTTTGATTAATATGCTCGATTGAAAGATTTTAAATTTTTTTCAAACATGGCTATATCGTCCTTATGTATTTTAATAACTTTAGATATACAAATAAATTAAAAAACAATCTCTACTGCCCCCATTCCTAAAACATAAGAAATCTTCTCCATTATCGGTGCTATCATCTCGGAATGCGAAACACCAATTAATGTTATCTTAGACCGTATTTAATTTTTTATTAATAATTATTTTTAT